AGCAATGCTAATAAACCCCACTGCTGTGTCTTTCTGGCTGATTTATAATGTTGCAAACATTTCTGAAATGGTTCATTACAAACCAGGTCAGAGTAGGACACTTGGTGCCCTCCTCAAGTTCACTTGCCAGGGATGGGATTGCTGGGCTAGTCTCAGTCAGTTCAAATTCCCTTCAGAGACAAATCCTTGAGCCCCTTAATTCTTCCTCCAGGGAAGCAGGGCCTGGCAGTGCTGTCAGCTTGTTTACCCTGCTGCTGTTAACTGCTTCCTCCCAACCTGCCTCTGCATTCTGTCTGCTCTGCAACTCAAGTTAAACAAAATGCTGAACAGACAGACCCAGTCATACCAATCAGGCACTTACCTACGCTAGTGACTAATCCCTCCTGGAAACTTTCCAGATGGAAGCTGGAATAACCCTGCTGGAAATTGGAATAACCTGAGCGTCATGCAACTTTCAGAGGCCAGTGCTGGTGACTGTTGGATAATTCACTGAAGTGCAAGACTTTGAATCAATTCAAACACAAGTCTTTGAATCTTAGCTATTGGGAATTCAACCTTGTGATGTGCTGAGCAGGTTTCTTTCCAGTGACCCCACTGCCATATGAGATCAGAACTCTAAGAAGCCACCAAAGCCTCAGTGGTGACCTCTTGAATTATTGATGTTGCCATTTAATGAGGGGTGTGGGTGTGTGTGTGTGTGCACAGGGAATACTTTGTTTATCAAAAGGTTTGGCATGAATGCAGTAAAAGGGAAGCTTGAGAAACAAGAGTGGGAAATGTAGGTCCTTGGAACAGGATCCATACATCCCACAGAGAGCCTTGTTCCTGGCCTTGGTGCTTGGGTGCAGTTGGTCCCCCTGTGCCACAGCCATTGCTCAGGAGGTCCCCGTGGATGGAGAAGGGCAGCAGAGCTTCAGTGCCAGTGCAGAAGAAAAGACCTTCCACAGGGCTGACTCTGACTCCTCTCTGAACATCCTGGTGGCTCTTGAAGCAGACAGAACTGCACCCATCACAACCTGTCCTGGTCTGGCATTCACCAAGAGGAGTGTGTTTAGAAGAGTGATTAACTGTCTTTTAGCTACAGAGGGTCCACTCATCTTTGACAAAAGGCGCTGCTGGGGACTTCTGTCCCTAAAGAGGTCACCACAGGATACAAAATGGAGAATGAACAGGTCTTCTGTGCAAGGCACACTTAACATGTTGCCATAGAAACCAGTTACTTAATTCAGGCATACACAATTCTTCCAGCCCCCAGTGAATTCCAGTAATGGGTTTATTATATCACACTTCATTGGTGTCATCTGTCACACAGACACTCACATAAATGAACCAGCCTTTGCTTCAGAACTCCCTTCCACTAGCTCGACCCAGTAGGGGAAGGGTCTCCTTCTGGGCCTGGTGGTTATGAGCAGGTCAGTGTTCCACCCCACTTTGCATGCTAATGTCTTCCTTTCATGCAAACCTCACATTCAATGGAGGAGAACATTTGTTTCATTTCCTGATATTCCAGTTTATTAAAAATGTGCTCTTAATCTCTCAGATCCTCGAGTGCACGTGCTGTCAGTATGCAGGTTCAAACATTTCAGCCCCTTTTTCCCCCCACATGATGTTTGAACTGCAACTCACATTGATGCCTGATGCAATGCTGTGTTAATTTCTCCTTTTGTTTAGGCCAAAGTTTTAATGTATGCTAGCTGACCTGAAGGCTCATTTTAGGCTTCATGACTATACAGTAGAGTGTTTTCAAGTTAGAAGGACAGATGGATGGACAAATGGGTAAAAAGTCTCAAGTGATTCATAAGACTCCATGCCAGTATTCCCTGTAAATGGACTTACAGATGATGAACAGACCTTGAAGATGTGGTGTTGTTTTTAGTTCATGAACTAATGATGAGGATCCTAGGATTTCAGATAGATTCTGTCTACTAAAGTACTCTGGATTGAACAGGAGTAAGGGATTTAACAAATGCTTGAGTAAAAGAAAATGGAAAAGATGTATTAGAGAGTAATCTTCTTGCATGTCTATATGAGGTGCTCCCCAATGCCTTCTGTCCCAGATGTATCTTATCTGAGATGGAATGGAGATATGTGACCTGTCAGAGGTGAAAAATAAGGGACAATCTACCAGAGACAAGGGATATGCCTTAACTTATGTTCTGCTGTGACATTGTCATGTCACTCATCCCAATGTCTTCTGCTCTATCCTAGTCTCCTAAAATTTTCTCTTCTGACAAATTTTTTGCCTTGTTTTTAGGAAGAATCTCTTTCAGTGGTCTTGGTGGCCAGAATGTGCTGAATTAGATGCATCTCAGTTTAAAAATGTGTGTAGGTTACTGCAGCTCCAGCATCTTCTCCTTTCACACCTACATTCTCAGTTCTGGCAGCCGGTTGACCTGAAATCTTGTTTCATGATGTGTCCCAGCATGGGTTTAATTTTTTTAAAATTCCTTTTATGCCCTGTTAAAAAAGGAATTTGTGTCTGTTCTCAGAATGAATAGGACCCAAGAATAACCTGAGTCTCATGTGGTGAAAATTACTTCAAACCCCTCAGTAAAGAAAACTGACATTTATGTCAGAGCATTAATTAGCACTTAAGTTGGAACAGTTTTGATCATTTCAGAGGTGCTGTCAGCTTGTGATGTGAGCCCCTCAGCAATCCAGGCTTAGCCAGAATCAGTAACTGGGTAGGTCAGAGTGGAGGTGAAAAAGAAGCAAAGAACACTGAAGAAAATCCTGGTGGGGATTCAGTCAGCTGCCTTCAAAGTCACTTGAGTCAGTGCTTAGGGGATGTCCTGGTGACATTTGTGACATCTTCAAAACAAGGTGTAAAATTGCAGTTCTGAGGCGTGTGGGCAAAGCTCCCCTGAGACCTGCAGTGACAGTGGCAGTGTCACTGTAAATGGCTACACTCTGCCTTCCTTTATTTCAGTTCACAAAAGAATCTGCTATGTCATACTGCTGACCTGAAAACTTGGTGCTTCTGCACCCTAGCCATAGGGAGGACATTTCTTGGATTGATTAAGAGGTAAGGTCTGTCCAGAGCTTGACAACCCTTTTGTGTTAATGTGCTGTGAAACAGCATTTGTCTTGTCCTCTGTTAAGTTGCCACACAGATTCCTGTGTGCTGTTTAAAGCTTCAGCACTTCTCCCATGGAGGAAGTGACCTCTGCACCGATTCAATTCATGTTCATGAAAGTATTTGGGATCTGCAAGGCTAACCTGTAAATTTAGGACTGTTCTTATTATTACTGTTGTTTTCTGACATCTCCTACCATGCCACAGATTGATTAAGTATGCACATACTCATTTCAGTGTAGCTGCTGCCCAAATTGACAGAATCACTTTGACACTTGTAATCACAAAGGCTTGCGTTGGATGAATGTTTTATTATTTGATTTTTTGCCATCCACTTCTCAGATTTGTTGTAGCAGCAGCACATGGTCTTGATATTCTCCAAGGTTAAGTAAGCACAGAAGCCAACATAGTGCAGGGGATACTGTGCTAGAGAGGGAAGGGTTATCTTGTATTTGAGGCTGAGGCATTTCCCTCAGACCCTGTATTCTGTCCCTCACTCAAACAGAATTGTCCTGTCTTACAAAACACTTCACCTTCCTGTGCTGCTCTTTTCTCATCTGTGAAATGGCAGCAGAACCCTTGTGTGTGTGCTGAAGATCATTAGCTGGGTTTTGCAAAGTACTTCCAGATTTTTGATTGGAAGGCACACAAGAATGGAAAAATATATTACTTGCTGAGATTCTTGACGTGGCAAATTGCAACCTCCCTACAGAAGACATTTGGATGCATTTGACTTGCATTTGACTTTGACATGAAATGAATAATGATAACTGACCAGCAGAATGACTACTCCAGAAATAAGACAGTTTTAAATGATCTGTTTCAGGTTTCTAATATGCAGAGATGTTTCTTAACCTGTTACATGCAGATTAATTCAATCTCTCCCTACTGCTGTGCCCCTACCTCAGGTATAGTTCTTCTCATGTGAATTTTGAAGTGCACTGCTGAAACACTGGGTTTTCTGAAGCTTATCTGGACCATTCACCTCACACCTAAGTTTAATTTGCAGGTAAGTGTTACTGCTGAATCTGCTGACCACTTCCAGACATTGAAACCAAAGGATTGTGACTTCTCTGAGGAAGAGAGAAGGAAGTGAAAGGACATGAAAAGATTCAAACCTCTATTGTAATTATAGGAATATCTTGTAATCTTGCTTTGTGACTTTGTCTTGTCTGTAAAATTATAGCAATTATGTTTATGGTCTTTCCCATCTGAACTGTTTCAAGATTGGTGAATGAAAAGACTCTAATCAGTAGTTAATGTTCTTGTCAGAGGAACTTATCAGAACAACTGTACATTTATTTAAAAAAAAACTCCTTTGCATATGCTTAAAAACAAATCAGAGTATTCATACCAAGGGAGGGCTTTTCTCACCACTGAATAGAGAATCCTGGCTGCTCACTCCCACCTCTGCTTCCAAGCAGTTTCATTTCTGTAGCCTTTGGCTTGGTACAATCAGACATAGTCACCACCAGCAAGAAAAGGGAAAGCAAGAAAACATTGAAGTTGGACGAATAATGTATTTAAAAGTCAGCCAATCATCTAAAACTTTTATATGGAGAAGAAAAAGAAGGATTATACAGTTCATGCCATCCTAAATGGAAAATGGTTTGGATAAATCAGACTCTACAGATGTGAGTTTTCCTACATCTACTTTGCTAGAATTCTAGTTAAGTTTTGGATATTTGCAGTGTACAATCAGGAAATGGTCATATTATCCTGTGAGCTCTTATAAAAGAAATTTGCTAAAGCATTTCTATAATTGATGTGTATATAATTTCTCCTCTTCTTCCCTGTTATTTGCTTAACACAAAGCCTTTAGGGATGGGATACCTCTCTTAATTTATATGCACAGTATCTCTTTGAGATACCCTCTCTGGTTTTCTGGCAGTCCTGAACTGTTTGTCATTAAACTTATTGCTTACCTCCCCTCTGGTGCAGGGCACTGCATCTGAGTACCTGGAAGTGCACATGGAGCCTTCCTCAACGAGATCATCCTGGAGCCCAAAAGTAGCTGTACAGTTGACAGAGAAATACTTGTAGGGCCTCCAAGTCTGCCCATAATCCTGGGATCTTTCCAACACCATCGCAGCTGGGCGAGGGGACTTGAACACAGCAATGACGTGGGTCAGGTAGAATTCTGTTTCAAAGTCCAGTCTGATTTCTTCTCTGTGTACCCCTTGGGCAGACTGCCACCAGGAGATGGGGTTTGCAAAGAAATCATCTGTCATGTCAGCAGGGAGGTGGGAGTTGTTGGGCTGGTTGCTGTTGCATTTGGTGCAGCGGGGCTGCCCACAGCCGGGGGAGAGGCGATGGAGGAGGTTCTGGTCGGGGTAGGAGCAGTAGAGCTCTGTGCTGTTCTGGCCACACGTGGTGGTGGTCACTGGTGTCCTTCCTGTGGCGAGGTTTCCCACGGGAGGGTTGCAGGCGCGGCCGCTGCAGCGGAAGGCTCGTGGCCTCGTGGGGTCTGAAGGACAGGGAAAAGAAACACAAGCAGAAATTCTCAGGTAGTTCTCACGGTGCAACCCAGGTGACAACAGAAATGTTTGGAGTCCTCATCTGGGTCTCAAATTTAAAAGCACACCTTTGAAGGAGAGCTGCTTCATCTTTTCACACAAAGTTTTGGGATAGTGTCTCAATAAATCTAGTCCTTGTGTTTGGTGCCTAACTCAGAAAATGATCTTCAGAAAAACTCTTGTTTGTTTTTGATTTCTGTTGAAAATATGATTGTGCCAGTCTATTGAATTTTATGGTTGACCAGAGAAATCTTGTGGTTTTTCCTTTCACTAGTAAAACTCCATATTGAAGGAGTGAATCTATTCAATGCCTTTGTTTTCATGGTAATCAGAGAGCAAAGTCAAACTGGACCAGACACTGTTGATACATTAGGAAAAGAGATGATCCCTGCCTAACAGGTTACAGACACTAATTACACATATGAACACATAAAGAAAACCTGTATTACTATAGCTGAGTGTTGAGTTTCTACTGCTTCTAATAAGTTATTAATTTGTAGCAAAGCTGAAAATCAAGTGTCTCTTTTGTTTAAATACCTTGACGTGAAGGTAGGTGATTGCATTCTATTTGCCAAGTTTGCAAATACTGAAAAATTTTTGGTATCTTCAATGTATATATTTACTTATTTCTAAATTAAGAAAAGGTAGGGGTAAGTACAAAGTCTTAATGTTGTTTGAAAGTCAGTTGTGTCTTGTGAACTGGAATTAGAGGTCATTCCAAAATCTTATTACTGCACTGGAGAAAACTGCATTTCTAATGACATACAGTGTTCTCTTTGCAACTTAACACTCTAGAAGTAGTTAAAGACTGACCTTGCAAGGTCATAAATCTAATCCAAGAGGTCACAAGTCAGATGATTGGGTTTAGGTCCTGCAGGAAATGACCCTTCCAATGAAACGTAGGATGGCTGTAAACCCAGGGTAATCGTGGAGCAGTTCAAAGGTCAGCTATAAGTTCAACATTCTAGGTCAAATTTTAAAATCCCTACTCCATTTATATTCAGATTCTCCTTAGGTAAAATTAGTTTAATTATCAAGTTAGGTCAAAGAAAGGCGGGCGTCTCTAAGTCAACCTTATGAAAGTACTTAGATTGTAAATGTTGTTGGATGAGATGGACATTCCTCTTTCCAGAAGGAAAGTTTAAAGTAAAAAAATGTATTCAGCTTGCAACAGTTTTGCTTCTGAGTTGATTCTGTCCTTAGTTCATCAATGACATCTCTGCACGAGCCAGGAAAGAAAGGTCAGACATGAACACAGTTTTAGAAAACACCTCATGGATTTTGCATTCCATGGTTAGAACGCAAAATAGTTATTGCATGTCCACTGAATGCCTTTGACCAATTTTAGCTCACATACAGTGTGAGGTAGCCTAAAACTTCAGAGAGCAAGGAAGGCCCTCATCCACAAATGCTCTTGTCTGCTCCTAGAAACGGATGGGAGCCACCTTCCAGGTAATTTGAAGTGTGTTGGCTGGCAATGATTTTCTTTTAGTACTGCAGTGATGTCAGTCCCAGCAGCCTGGCAGAGCTCAGAGGGCAGCAGTGCCTGAATTACAGGAGCACCCAACAGTGCTCAGACCAAAGGAATGGAAGTGCCCCTCCCCAGTCCCACCACAACTTCTTGTGCCAGCACAGACATGAGGAGCTGCAGACCCATCTGGAGAGGAATGGAGATGGGTATTTTTGGCTCTGTTGGTTCTCTTTTGTGCTCCCCACCTTCAAGTGAGCCGGTGATTCTCAGCACCACCAGAAGTAAGTGAAGATATAATGAACTACAAGTGCACACCTCAAGCATGTCTTTGCAGGTGGCATTTAAGTTCCTGCTTGGTAAAAACTGCTGGAAATAAGGAAGGCAATTTCTGTGTTTAAAGTAGATTCAGTATTAACTGATTTTGCTCAGTGCTGCACAAAGGTATCATCTTTGCCTCCAGAGAATTTTAGTGGGACTGGTCTCACAACTGAGCTTTGAACAAGCATTAGCTCTGACTTAGAGTCAGGTTACTTAGTTTTGATTAAGAATGGATCTGTGTTACAAATGTTATTGGATTATGGATGATTATGTATAAATATACCATGTAATTAAAAGAAAGTCCATCTCTATTGATTGATGATGCCACTAAAGCTTTCATAGAAGAAATGGGATGCTGGAGTTCTAAATTAAGGGGGAGCTTTGCAGACAAGAATGGGAGAAAGCAGAAAAGGAAATATTTTCCAAAGGGAATGGCTGCTTTTTGTATTTCCCATAAATGGGCTATTAGCTTTGTATTGAATTTTTAGCTGTTTTTTCTGAGCCTTGAAAATAAAGAAATGTGTATTTTCTCCTGAACAGCAGTCAAAGAAGGTTTATCTTCTTTGCCTGCTAATGCAGCAACATCAATAAACAGTTCCTGTCTGAACTGCTGTGTCATTAGGAAAATGGGAGGAGAACAAAGTACAAATTAGCAGAAGAGAGTTTGAGAGAAGGAGAGAGATTGGAAAACAAAATCTGCAGTCGATTAAAAGCTTTGTATTTAAAGAAATCAATTGGCAGAACATTGTTTGGCCGCAAGGATAGTGCAGCCCGTCCATCACTCACTGTGGAAACAACATGAAATGTAGAGTCTGGACAGCAAGGGGAGACTGCTGCAGGAGAGAAAGAGCAGCCAGGCAAACACACAACTTACCCCGACTGCCAGGAGGACTCACTGAATAATTCATGAGGAATTAAACAGTTTGATTACGCATGGGCACTGCATGTTATTATGAGGTTGATTAGCTTTTACTCCATGGAGGGTGGCTTGGTTCCATGAATGGTATGATTAATTTATTTGTTTGTTTTCTGGTCCCTCAGAGCTGTGCCACAAAGTGGCAGGTCAGAGGCACATGCCCAGCACGTGTTGTAACAATGGTGTTATCTGATGATTAGGGAATCATACAGTTCAGGGGAGGTCATACTATTGATATTCCTGGGACACCATTTCAAGCAGAGACTTCTTACTTCACAGCCTTGTAATGCACTAAAGCATTGTAGACATTAACTAAAAACAGGTTCAATTTTTTTTTCTTCATTTTTTTTCACCCTCCATTGGATACTCAACAGAAGAAAGGTCATACGGCAACTCATCCAAAGCCTGCTGATATGACTGGAAAGATGCCTAATATTTTCTGAGTGATTTGAATTAGAATTTTATTTCTTTTCCATTTGCAAATTTATGATTTTTTGTGTTCAAATCTCCTGCAGTGAGTCAGGACAGTAAATTTTACATATCTCAGAAAGAGCAAAATCTTTGGGCATCTTCTGCTCTGTGTTTAATGGAGCAATTTCAGCACATATGTCCAACCTGGATTTCATTTGTTATATATCTGTTCAAATTTTTTTCTTAATAACGAAGACCTTATAAATGTTATTCTAAATCTAACCACCCTGGGGACTTAAGTTGCTCAAGTTTTTCTTAGTCAGACCTAGAATTTTGCCCTTTAACACTGGTTTCAACAGCTGTACAACTCTTTGGTTTGTGTGGGGCCAACATGCACTAAGTTTGGCAGATCTTCATCCCCTTAGGAGAAGCCTGGTGTATTTCTGCACTAAAATAGTTCTGATAACTGGAGCTAAATGAGCCTGCTGTCAAAATACCTCAGAGGTGAAATTCAGAATGTGCTGTGAAACCGAGCTGCCTCCATGACTTGAGGCATAGAGAGAAGAACAAGATCCCAGGCTGGGGCCAGGGCAGTCTGCCTGTCCCCATCCTTCCTGGAGCAGCAGTGGGCTCCAGCACTGCAGCTCCACTGGCAGATCAGCTGATAACCTCAGACAGAGGAAACCAAGCCCTGCTAATAAGCTTGATGGTAGAAGTGGCCATTTTTAGCCACATCACACCTTCTTTTCCAGGAGTCCCTCTGGGACGGGGGCTGGCCCAGGTGCTGCTCGCATGGGGAGCTCTGGGGCTGAAGCAAGAGGCCAGGCTGTTGTCAGCTCCACTAAGTGTCCCTTATGCAGGAGTTTCAGATCACTGCAGGGTTGCTTTGAGGGGAATGATGCCTCCACCTACATCAGACAAGGGGAAGGATTATCCAGTGTCACATTTTATGGTATAAACCCAAGCTGACTGCTCCAGCCTAATAAGCCAGGTGTTTGGTTCTTTATTTGGGTGTTTCCTCCCCAATATGTTGAAAGGTCTAAGGAGTCAATCTTGACAACCCAGACTCTTTTCTGCACAGAGGCAGCAGAAGGCAAATATTGGATTCCCCACAAATGTTATGCGCCTTGTACTCCCCATAGGATAATGAAATATTCCAAAAACATACTTCTCTGTACATGTCTCAGCTCTAAATAAAGAATTAAAAATTAACAGGCAACCCTTGTGCTTTCACAGGCTGATAGTTTGTGCAACCTTTTATTCAAACACCAAATACTTATTTAATGGGACATTGAATCCTTAGCAGCATCACCTTCAATATCCAATTATTTTGCTGCTATCCACTATGTCCTACACTATTATTTTGAGTGAGTTTATCTCCAAACAGAACACACTCCCTCCCTGCAAATTCACTTTCTAAGCAGCCAGCTGGGAGCTGTGTTTCCTTGAAGACTCATTTTCTCTTAAGTGAATTGGATGCAGAACAGATTTAGGCTAGTTTGTAACAGGCTGCCTTCTGCAATGGTGTCAGCAGCTTCACCAGAGATCTCTGCAGCCTTTCTGTGCTGCATGTCACCATATGTATCCTGGAGGGAGCCTACATCCTAGCCTGGGGAGCCAGGGAATGCCCAGAATAAGGCACCAAGGGAATTAAGGCTCATGTACTCCCTGCCCTCATTCCCTGTCACGCTGTGACAGCCTCTTCCCCAAATGAGTTGCTGGGTAATACGACAGGATGGTAAATTCATGAGCTGGTCAGTTTTTAAAAAAAAATAACTCTTGTGGTTATGGAAATCTGCTCTCTGTTATCAGAGGGGTTCTAGCTAGGGAATCATCTGAGCTGCAGCCACTGGAGCTGGCAGGACAGCTGAGCCTTCAGCTGCTTTCCAATCACTGCCTGAGGAGTGCTGCTCCTCTCCTCATACTCTGAGCACACAGGTGAAATTTAAACCACTGGAGTGCTTTCCTGTACAGGAGGAGAGATTCCAAGACAGTATCTCAGTGGAAAAGTCACAAAGGATGAACTGTTTTTTCATCAATAATTGTTTTTATTTTTTTCTGACCTGATTCTTGTAATTAATCCTTTTTGAACTTAAAAATATATTAAACAACAACAGAAGGTACAAAAATCCAATGCTTTGCTTCCTTTCCTTTAAGGAGTTTTTCTTCCTCATAATCCAGGTATTTTTAGAACCCCATGTAAATACCATTACAGCTGTACCATTCCTATATATGTTGTGCACCCACATGTATACACACAACTAATCAGCTTCTCTTTCTGTTTTAATCCATTTTTCTCTAATGCAAATTAAATCCTGTCCTCTGCATGTTAACTATTCAGTTAAGATTTCCTAAACAGTGTCTCTGATTTTTAATTATGCAATATTAAGTTAACAGAGAATTATTCAGATTCCTACACTGATGCTTTCCAAGGATGTTGTCATTTCATTCTTGTCCTGCCTAGAAAGGCAGTATTTCATCCTCAAAACAAACATCCAGCATATCTCACTCCATCTATCTCTTTCTTTCTTTCTTACTTTTCTTTTGTTTTCAATAATGACACACTCCTTCTTTTAAGGGTGTATGAACCTGTACATAAGTCTTTGGAAGGACACTGAACTGTAAAGCTGGGTATTGCAGGGAATAAGAGGCATTTGTATATATTGACTAACACAGATTCCTTGTAAAAATAAATCTAAAATAAAGATGTTGACACAATATATTTTTCACAAACAGACCTGATTTCTATCCCCTATCCCCTTGCTAAATTTAGGATAAATTGTTTCAGAACGGCAATATAGATTTATTTTGCTTACCTGCTTCTCCATGTCCAGAAATAAAATATTCCAAGAACACAAGCAGAATGATGCCTTTATGCTGCATGGCTGTCAGTAAAATATTTGTCCTCAGTGAAGCAAAAAAGACCTGCAGTAATCTACAGGTTTGCTGCTTGCATGGCTTTTCTGTGTTTTCTTTCTTGCTGCTCACCTTCCCCTCGGTGTAGGGGTCAAGGCTGCTGTCTCATTCTTCTCGTTCTCGTTTGGGTCCTGAGGTGGTCTGGTTTTTTGTCAGGGCTCAGATGCCTTCTGGGTGTCACCCATACATTGCTTCCAATAAATAAATAAATAAATAGCGAGGTGTTTCCGTGCCTTTACCCCCCTCCATGCAGCGGGCAGGGGCCGCTCACATCTCTGACGCAGCCCCTCGGACGCACCATCGGGGGCTGATGCGAGGCGGGGAGCTCTGCTCGGCGCGGTCCTTGGCGCTCCTTCGGATGCTATTTCGAAACTTTCATTCCTGCTCCTCGCTTTTGGTGGAGCTGCGGCTCGGCCGTGCCCGGCTTGGCCCTGGCAGCCCTGCCCGGCCCCCGGCAGCTCCCGCAGCCCGCTGCTCCCCGGGGCGGCGAGGGGCTGCGGGCAGCCCGGACCCCAACCCGGCTTTGTTAGGAGGTGCCCCCCGCTGCCTTCTCCGCCTTTGCTCCCTGCAGCGTGGGGTCATAAGAAGAAGAGTTGGCTTTGGTCCCTGAGAGATGATGAGAAGCAAGTGCTTTCTTGGCTCTTCTCCCTTTTTTATTTTGGTTTGTTTTATTTGATTTTATTTCCCTCCTCCCTCCGCTGTCACGGAAGCCGCTTCTCCCCCACCTCCGAGGGATTTGCTTCACACAGCGAGCGCCAGGGGAGTGGAAAACAAACGCAGCGCCAGCTCTGCGGGGCCGGTGCCCGGGCGCTCCCGGTCCGCGCTGCCGGCAGGGACCGGCCGGGATGGAGCGCGCTGCCCAGCGCCAGAGCAGAGCGGGGAAAGGGACAGGGGCTGGGGAATCCCTCCTGCCCCTGCCTCAGCAGGGCCGGGCTCAGGGCGGGGGTCCTGCCCTTCCGAGGGCGGGTTAGTTATCTGCAAGTTCTCGGCTCCCTTCAGCCTCTATCTAGCACATCTCTCCGTCCTAACCGGGCACTTCTGCTCAGTTCTCCTCCTCTCCGGTCCTGTCTGGATGCAAAGGGGATTATTAAAACATGTGGTCTTTTTCCTGGGCTTTATATGTGCGGGGTTTTTGTTGTTGTTGGTGGTGGTGGGGGTTTTTTTTGTTTGTTTGTTTGTTTTTTCCAACCTTAATTTAATTTTTTTAAGGTCTGTTCCGCACCTCCTCTCGGCTGGGCCGGTCCTGGCTGGGCTCGGCTGCGGGCGTTGTTTTCCAGCCGCCTCCTGTCCTCCCGCAGCACTGCGTGCGTGTTTCCCGGAGCGTGTCCGTGTGTGCGCGCAGGCGGGGGCGCGTCCGCGTCCGTCTGTCCCTGCAGCACCCTCTGCCAGCCCGGCCGGCACATGACACTGCCCCGGCGCCCCGGCACCGCCGCTCGCTGCCGTGGCACTCCGCTCCGGGCTGGGACGAGCCGGGCAGAGAGGGGACTGGCGGCTGCCCGGAGCTGGAGCAGAATCCCAGTTGTTTAGGAAGACCTAAAATGTATGCAAAGAAAACTCTAAAATGTACCTTGATTGGAATATTCCTAGAATCATAGAATAGGCTGGACTGGAAGGGACCCTCAAGGGTCATTGTGTGCAACTCTTAGTCCTGCACAGGACATCCCCAAGAGTCACACCCTGTGCCTGAGAGCATTGGCCAAACACTTCTTGAACTGTGCCAGGCTTGGTGCTGTGACCACCTCCCAGCCGGGGTCGGTGACAAACCCAGGGCACAAACCCAGGGACACAGAGACACCCCAGTGTGTGGCAATCAGGGGGTGAAAGTGTCCAGCCCGAGAAAACTTCCTGTTTCAGGGTGGGAGTTCCCCACATTTTTGTTCTCTCCTTCTTCAGGTTTGTCACCAGTATAACGCCATTAACTTGTGTTGGTGCCATGGGGGAAGCAGGTCTGATGGGAATGCAAACGCAGACAGGGTTATTCTTGTGCCCCTGTGTGTGCAGGATCAGACCTTAAAGGGATTTGAAGAATGTAGGTCGAACAAAGAAGAATAAGGAAAGATTTATTTCCCTTTGGGATGGGAATGTTTATGTAAGGCAGGGTTATCTGGCTAGATTTTGGGGTAGAATTTTCTGACTTCACCCTTCTTTTTTTTTTTTAATTATGAAAACTCAGTAGACATCTTTAAAATATAGAGGCTTTTCTGTCTCCTTTTTGTCTTTGTCTTTTGTTTGAAAGCAGCTAAAATACTGTATAATTACAAAACAAAATTCTCCTGCTGTAAAATGACATTATCCTTCAGAGGGTCTGAGTCTGCTGTGTGCTCAGCTCCCCTGGGATGCTCTGAGTTCTTTCAACTTGAGCATCTTCACTGGGAGCTGGGGATGTGCAGGATGTCCTAGAGCTAAAGCGGATCTGACATTAATGAGAGGCTGTCATTTAATAATTGTGCTTTGTTATCACTGCTTGTTGATTGCTGCCTTTGTGGGGAAATACTGTATTTTTTCATTTGCAGGTTTTAGGCTCAATTCTAACTGAATTGCTTTGCCCATTTACTTTCACCTGGCTTAAAATGTGGCACTTGTGGTTCAACGAATGTAATAAAGGTCAAGAAGCTTCTGTATAATTTAAACAACAAGCCAGAATGGAGAGCAAAGTTCACATTGCACTGTTAAGTGGAAAATCAAAGTTAAATACATTCATTTACCTGCGATGCCTGGATGGCAGTACAAGACTTTCTAGTTGTTGTTGACTGTAGGGTATAAAAGTGACATAGGACTGAAAGCCTTCATTATTCCTCCCAATTATTGCCTGTCTTGAGAAATCCACTTCCAGTGCTAATGAGTACATTTCCAGTTGAATGCTATGAAAATCCATTCGTGCCTGTGAGCTAAGAGAAGCTAACACCTAAGATGGAAATTTTGCTGTTATAATGACCACTGCTGTCGTCTAGAAGATGAATTGGTGAGATCAGAGGAAGTGCCCACACCAAGGAGTGTTAAACAGAGAATGTCCATCTTAACTGAACAGTGTGTATGAACAGTGATGTGAATAATCCTTAACTTTCATTAGTTCCTAAGCTATAGCAACATAAATGATCAATTCTTGATGTCTCAGTCAATATTCCTGCTCCAGACCACGACTCCCACGTGAACATTGAGGGGATCAGGTTATTTGGAAGGTGACTGAATTTGCTCTGGTGCCTTAGCACGGCACCAGTTGACAAAGCACCCAGAGAATAATCAAACTGTGAATCATTCATTTTGGGGGAGGAGGGAAGAGCCAATGGCATGGCACAGAGCAGGGAGGTGTGTCACCTGTACCACTGCCCTCTCAGCCTGACAGCCCTGGTGCCAAAGCCAGAGGACAGTCTGTCCTCTTGGAGATCCCCTGGAGTGGTGGCACATTTGAATCGTGCAGCATCTTGATTTCCTGCAACCTTTCTTGTACCTCCTGTCCTCATACCTCTCCAGTTTGCCTTGCCTTTCCTCCTGCTATTTCCTCAGCAGCTATGACCAGCCTGAAGGAAATCTGTCGTGGCCTTCCTCTAAACCCCCTGCCTGAAAACAAAGGTCGGAGAAAAGGAATACCCCACGCACCCGTGAGAACACCTAATCTCACTGCTCAGGAGAAGAAGGTAACGTGGGCTTTCACAGGCCCTCATTTCTCTTCCTTTCAGATAAAGGCATCTTGGGGCAGCAAACCTGATTGCCTCAAATGCTTTTCTGAACGGGAAGCTAACTTTGTGTGAAATGTATTTCCTTGGTGTTATACTTCACTCTGTAACGGGACAAAGGGCTGGAAGCTCTTCTCTTCGCTGCCTTTCTTCCTCCTCCAGAATAACTGGGTTGGTATGAGGGAGATTTTCTGCACAGCACCTTCCATGATTTTAAATGGCTGAACAAGAAGCATTAGACTTCAATACTGTCAATCCAGCATTGTTTCTCAGAGGTGGAATTCAGAATGCTGTTGCCAAACCTTTGCATATGTATGTGAGTGAAAGCTAACCCCTCCAGTACAATAAACATCAAAGGTGATGAATCAGCATCAGCATCAGCTACACATCTGTATATTTGCACAAAACCCCAAAGATTACTTATTTTATACAGAAGTCTGGGCATGAATTTCAGGTGAGTTTGTAGGGAGTTAATTATTTGTCTTTAGTTGCGTAATTATTTTCCTGTCTCTTTTTGTTTAAATAGTCTTCATACACACCAAAGTAATGGTTGCATTATTTCATGTTCAAGACTAAAAAAATCAGCAGCAGAAAATAATGACCAATGGGTGGAGATGCTTAGGAATTTGTGTGGGAGAGGACAAGGTGGGTTCCTTAGCTTGGAAGTCTGTGCTTCATCACACATAACATCACTTACACTGAGACATTCTGGTCAGAGCACAGAAGTTCCTTCCCCAATAACAACTTGCACACAACTTCCTTGCCTTCGTGGGAGTTCCCCACTGGCATCAGCAGTCAAATTCTTTCAAAGTCACTTCCACAAACAGAGGAGAGTCTAGTCAAAGAGTAGAAAGAGGAACAGCTGTGAGATATCCAAAGAGGATTTACTTCAATGTCAGGAGCATTCATGGCTGAGGCATCCTGTCTGTGCCTGGGACAGTTCAGACCCATGGAAATGTGTTTAATAAGTGTGCAGAAGGGCTGTGGTGATGGCTGTGAAGATAAAAGAGTGGGGAGTGAGTTTCAAGGCATGTCAGAACATTGCCAATCATCTCTGTTTTATTCCTTGCCTTTCCTAAATCCCTTTTCCCCAGAAGCGTGATATAGCAGAAAGGAGTCCCAATTTCAGGAGATGGTGTCTCTCAAGAGGATGCCAAACCTTTCTCTCTAACCTGTGGAGGAGAAGGCAATGACAAGGTCTTCCCTCCCTATATAGAAACTGGAATAGTTTCCTGCCTCCTTTAAGGTTTGGAGCAGTGGACTGATTTTCTGCCCCCACCTGTGTAACATCCATCTCTCATCTCTCCATTTTACCTACTGCATGTGATAAAAGGTCATGCTAGTTCGGTATTTCATTAGACTATTAGAGGTTTTAAGGCTTTATGGTTAGTCCTCCACCTTAAACTCTTAAGAGAATTAGAGGCTCAGCTGGTATTTTTTCCGTATCTGAGAAGTCAAATCTCTTTTTTAAAGAAATGCTCCATGCTTAGAAAAGCATGTAGATGGAAGATTGTCTGTCTGTCAGGTTTTTTTAAGTCATCTTGAAACAGGCTTCCAGATGTGGCTGACAGTGTGTAATGCTGAACAAATTATAAGACTTGTCTTTATATATGGCTTCGTGTTCACTTTCTAATGGAAATATTCAGGGGAAGTTTTGACAGAAGTGAAGTTAATAATGCTCTGCTGATTTCCTGTGGATTTCTCTCTCTTTTCATATGCCTTCATTCCAGTTTTAGTTCTTGTTACAATAATAAACCTTATCACTGCCAATGTTTTATTTTCTTGGGCCTCCTTTTGTGGTTATAACAGAAATCCTGTAAGTGAGATTTATAAAGAACTGTGTGTTTTGGGACTTGCTGAAGAAGTATCTAATTCTTCCTATCATACCAGCTTTAATCTTCTTGGATAAATTGAGCCATATCTCAGAACTGATTCTGATTATATGTTTCCTGAATTCTCTTCCTTCAGCATTCTTTGCCTGAGGCCTGAAACAGCCACATCCTCTCTCTTTCCCTCCCTCCTCAGCTCAGGAAACCCTAGCTTTCTGTTTCTCAGCATCTGTATCTTAATGTAAATATGCCTCAAAGAAACTACCCTTAAAATCTAGGTGTGGTGTGTGCTTTGCAGAACAAGGATGTTGCATGCT